ATTCTCGTCCCGCCAATCTCCCTGATCTTAGAATGGAGATTAATCTTTTAAAAGAAGAAATTCGCCAGTTAAACTCTCGTCAAACTAAGATGGAACTGGAAATTACTCTTTTACAAGCAAAATCTGTAACTGAAACTTCATCATCCCATATTGAAATTCCTCAATCCGAAAGCACGAATTATCTTCAACTCTTGAATCAAGTTACTTACCAAAAATGGTATATATCTATCAATTTGGTAATTAATCAAGAGTACACCATCACTAATGCTATTGCCTTAGTTGATAGTGGTGCAGATATGAACTGTATACAGGAAGGATTGGTTCCTACTCAATATTTTGAGAAAACCACTCAAGGTCTTACCAGTGCTAGTGGTGGTAAGATGCAGATTAAATATAAACTTAATCATGTTTTCATCTGTAAAGAAGGTATTTGTTTACCATCTACTTTCTTACTCATCAGAAATATGGCACAACAAGTTATTTTGGGCACCCCCTTTTTAGCTTTGATCATGCCAATTGAGAAAATTGATTCTCATGGAATATGCTCTACTTTACATGGCCAGTCAATCACTTTTCAGTTTTTGACCCCACCAGTAAACAAGCATATCAATGCCCTTAAAGATAACATTATCTTTAAGGAAAAACAACTGAATTATTTGCAAAAGGAGGTATCCTCCTTAGCAATTAATCAAAGATTGGTACAACCCACTGAGCAACAGAAAATTGAGTCAATACGACAAAACTTTCTAAAGGAAATCTGTAGTGAGATTCCTAATGCTTTTTAGGCCAGAAAGAAGCATATTGTTTCTTTACCCTATGAAAAGGGATTCACCGATCTCATGATTCCTTCTAAAGCTAGTCCTAGCCACATGAAAGCTGACTACTTGGAATTATGCAAAACTGAAATCAGCTCTTTAATGGCAAAGAAGCTTGTCATTGACAGCCACTCCCCATGGAGTTGCAGAGCTTTTTATGTCAATAAAAATGCTGAAAAAGAAAGAGGAATTCCTCGATTGGTTATTGATTATCGACCACTCAATCTTGCTTTGAGCTGGATCCGATACCCAATTCCCAACATCAAAGATCTTTTAGATAGGTTACAATCTGCTGTAATATTTTCTAAATTTGATCTTAAGTCTGGATATTACCAGGTACAGATTACAGAAGAGGACAGGTACAAAATAGCCTTTTGTGTACCTTTTGGATAGTATGAATGGACAGTAATGCCATTTGGATTAAAAAATGCCCCTTCAGAATTTCAACATATTATGAATGACTTATTTAATCCTTATACTGAATTTTCTATTGTTTATATTGATGATATTCTCATCTTTTCAAAATCAATAGATCAACATTATAAACATTTGAAAATTTTCAAAGATGTTATTTACCAAAGCGGTTTAGTAGTTTCTGCTCCTAAACTAAAACTGTTTTTAACTAAGGTCCGATTTCTTGGTCATGAAATTTGTAATGGGAAAATTAGACCTATTGATCGCAGTATTGAGTTTGCTTCTAAATTTCCAGATGAAATTCAGGATAAAACTCAACTTCAGAGATTTCTTAGTAGTTTGAATTATATTCGAAATCACTACAGAGATCTTGCACAGGATACAGCAATTTTGTACACCAGGTTAAGGAAATCTCCTTCCCCATGGACTTTGGAACATACCAAGGCAGTCCAGAAGATTAAACTCAGACCAAAACAAATTCCTTGCTTAGCTCTAGCCAATTCTTTATGGTTCAAAATTATGGAAACAGATGCATCCAATATTGGATATGGTGGTATTCTTAAACAGAAGAATCCAAATACAGGAACAGAGGAGCTTGTTCGCTTCACTTCAGGAACTTGAAAAAATGCACAACTGAATTACTCAACCATCAAAAAAGAAATTCTTTCTTTGGTTAAATGCATTTATAAATTCTAAGATGATATAATCAATCAGAAATTCTTGTTACGCATTGATTGTAGTGCTGCTAAACAAATACTGGAAAAAGATGTAAAAAATTTAGTTTCCAAACAGATATTTGCTGGTTGGCAAGCTGATTTATCTGCTTTTGATTTTTCTATTGAATATATTAAAGGCAGTTCTAATTCTTTACCTGATTTTCTAACTCGTGAATTTTTGCAGGGTTCATGAATCAGCCCCCCTATGGGCAGGGCCGGGGTAATACTCCAAAGGCTCGTGGCAAAAACAAGGCTAAGGCCAAAGTGGTTATACCAATAAATGATGATCAATTTCCATATTTGGATCATGTTGCTGATCTGCTCCACACACCTTCTAAAGGCAGCAGCAGTACACAACAGAAACCAACCATGAAAGAGGTTCTTGAACAAGAAACTCCATGGATACCTAATCAAAGGTATATTCAGACAGTATTGGTACTGGATTCTCAGGATGAGCAATGGATGCCAGATCCTTGGGAAGTGAAATCCAGATTTCCAAACTCAACAATATGATGTACCGGATGGTCACCATAGATATATCTATGAAGCCATTCTTACTGAAACTTCCTCTGTGGAAATCAACCACACGAAGCAATTTCCGAATTCCAAAGATAGTCCTCTTACTTATAGTAAAGCTATCTTTAAGAGGCTTATACGGCCTAGTGACTGGGGATTAAATACTAATTTGCCAAGGAAAATATCCTATGGTCACAGTTACAATTATTGGGATTATATCTCAGCTTAGACATATTCGTTCTTTATCAAAATCCGAAGCATAAGCATTCTTGGTTTCTCAAGATATGCCCTCAATCAGTTAAGGCTGATTTCCCAAACTGGGTTATACCCTGGTGGGCTATATTTGGCCCTGATCTGGATATTTTGCCCGAATCTATTAGGCAGTTATACTTGCCATGGCAACAATTTCATCCTCAATTAAGGGGACAGGATAATATTCCTGTAGGGAAATTCACCCTATTGTTCTTTACTGAATTTGGAATCCCTTGGATTTGGAAATATGATTTCCAATGTGGTTATACCACTGACAAGTTACCAGTCCTTCAGAGGATCTTTTATTACCGATGGTGGTCAGGCATGACTTAAGACCCTATCCAAGCCCTCCTCCATCATATCAGAAAGAAAACAATGGAATACATGGATAAGGTTCCAAAGTTAACTATTCCAGAACCAGAAATCTTTAACCCATTTGAACTTGTTAAAGATATGATCAGAAAGCAACAACCATTAATTACCGAAGCAGATTTAATGGTTAAATGCATGGATTTTATGAGGAATAAATTTGTTACAACTTTTGATTCCTCCACATCAACAGTAAGAGATGATGCCTCCATGATATCAGTCTCTAGCCAGACCAGTCAAGATGGCAATCAGTTTTCCTGTCTAGCTGGTTATACACAAGATCCCAATGAAGATCTTATTTCTGAAGATGAACCCACAGTAGCTGATTATTGGGATTCTCTCACCAGCCACTTGAAGGAAAAGATGAATCTACCCAAAAAGTAAAGATTCCTCTTATCCTGCCGACAGAAGAAGACAAAGGACTTTTCCCAAAAGTCTTTGATTCTACAGTATTTCCTTAATCAGATGTCTATTTTTTATCAGATAAGGCGACAGCACTTAGTGGTGGGCCGACCGACTGCATTATTCAAGCACACGTTCCCATGCACTATGTGGACTTCAAAATGTTAATTTCAAGTCCATTTCATGTATAAATAGAGGGCAAAGTTTCCCTTCAATGTATCTTTCAATTTTCCTTTCTTCCTCTTGTAATATTTCTCTGTACTAGTTTGGAATTGCAATAAAGAAGAAAATTTTCAGTAAGTGTCTGTCTAAGTTTCTTATCTCGTATAATCTGTTTATTATTCGATTATTCGATCCTTCTCTTAATTGAATCTGTTTATTATTTAATTTCAATTCCTATTCCAATTCAGATTCTTTTTCCAAATCTTAAAATAATTGATTCCAAACAAAGCGTTAAGAGTCTTGAGATAGGGCCAAGGCCATTACAATATATTATTATTCTAGCATCTAACATTGTTATTCTAGCATCTAACGTTGAATCGCATCCAACGAAGTGGTAGTTAGTTCGGGTGAATGCTTCTCTCACTTTATAGCCGAAACGAAGACTAATCGGCGGTCGAGGTGGTGGACCGAGCACTGACGAATTGAGATCCCACATATGCAGAACTCTTCTGGCTTCTGGAGAGTGTTTCCACAATGAGATGAACAATTAACCTTTGGTTGAGTCTATTAGGGTTTTAGAGATCCATTTTGAGAGCACTTTGATCTCCCAAAGATCCTTGAGTTTCTCTTGCGCCATATGTGATGAAGGAGGTGTGAGACTGATTCAGCTGTGGCTGAGCAAAGGATGCAACAATTAGGTATGTTCATGTACTCCCATCTTTTGTACGAATTCTCTCAACAATTAGGTATCGCCATAGACTGAATTTGTGTTTGAGAATAGATAGTGGATTCCAAACAACTTAGTCACGAAAAAGCAGGTTTATCGATCAATAATTTATCTTAAGACACTACATTTTGGTAAGGTCCATTCCTTAAAAAAAAAAAAAAACATTCAGATTAAATAATTAAATGAGATCCACCTAATATAGGAGTCAAATGTAATATATTATCTTTGTTATCAGTAATTTTATAAGTAGGTGGGTCAACTTTTTTTTAATAATGCATTGTGATTGGGTGGGTATACCAATAGCCCCACCCAATATCTACTCCTAATATAGAGAAAGGTATGCACACCCATTCAAAAATGGGAATATAGGTAATACAGACCGAATATATTATATATATGTATATACACATAATTATATGGGTGGAAATGAGATCATAAAGAGAAGCTCTATTATACATTGACAATTTCAGTAATGTAATCTATATAATGAGAACCAGAGTTCAAGTAACAAAAATCAAGTGTTACACAAGTGGAAAAAAAGTCTGTTTAATTATACACTTAAAAAGAAAAAGTATAAGTATGAGAGAGAATATTATCTTACATGATTATTGATCTCTCTCTATTTTATGTATAAAACACAAGTCATATATATAAAATAAACCAAGTCTAGTGCACGATGCTCTCGTTGCTTGAAAAATGAGATTGTAAATAACACAAGTCATCAAAGCCCATGACATATTGAAGAAATTCAGGGTAGTAGGAGCTGACCTATTGTGCATGCTTGGCTAGAGTCCTGTCCTGAGAAAGCATGTTCTTAATCAATTTCAGTTCCTTAGAGGCATGAAGAATGTTCATTCGTTCCCTTCGAGCCTCCATAGAACATACTACTCCTATTCTGAATATTAGAATCAAGCACTCATGGATTTTCTCCCTTGTCAACGCATGTGTCCTGCTAGAACTGCTGCTTCTGGCCACAGTCACTTCCTCTTCTTCCACACCCAACATCATCTGATCCACAATCTCCATCACTCGTTCTGGCAAAGCCGCCTTGGCCAATTTGTGAAGGTTGAAGCCATCTTTAAACATGCTATCAGTTGGTCTTTTCCCAGTGAACATTTCCAACAAAAGGATGCCATAGCTATATACATCACCATGGGCTGACACCTTGCTCCCCATGCCGTACTCTGTAAAAGTCAGGCATTTCATATTACCAGTTCAGGATGATTTCTAAATTTCAAATTACTATATTTATTTATGTGAAAGTACACACACTCAGAAATAAGTTTGATTACCTGGTGCTGCATATCCAATTGTTCCCTTGATACCAATGGAGGTGCTGGTTTGATTTTGAGAAGATTCATTGTCCTGTTGCTGTAGGAACCTTGCTAAACCAAAATCACCCAGGCATGCAGTCATGTCGCTATCAAGAAGAATGTTGCTTGGCTTTAGATCACAATGAACAATTGGCACTTGGCAATGATTATGAAGATAATCCAAAGCAGAAGCCACATCAATAGCTACATTTAATCGCTGAAGAAGGTTCAACCTCTTTGGCTCCTGATGATCAGGTGTGTGACTTGTTTCTGGAAGTACTGGATGCAACCAAGTCTCAAGACTCCCATTTGGCATGAATTCATATAGCAGAGCTTTGAAATCATTGCCGTGGAAGTCAATAGTTGAGCAAGCAGTTAAGATCTTGAGAAGATTTCGATGCCTAATGTTCCTCAACACTTGGCATTCAGCCATGAAACTCTCAGATGCTCCCCCCTGTTGCAAGTTGACTACTTTCACTGCAATGGCTGTCCCACTTGGGTCAAGAATTCCTTTGTATACTGAACCAAAGCTTCCCATACCAATCAAATTGGCTGACTTGAACCCATCCGTCGCTTTGAGGAGCTGTCCATAATTAACATTAAGAATTGGTTGCATCAATTCTAATACCGACGACGAAGATTGGCGTTGTTGCTTTCTTTTCTTGACAAGGAGTAGAAAAAATATTAAAATAATCCCTACAACTACACAAGATTTGGGGATTATTACCTTGAGAACAAGGGATGTTTTCTTCTTCCCTGGTTTATCAGTAGAGCATACTGGCAACTGTAATGCAGGTACCCCTCCACAAAGCCTTTTGTTTCCATAAATTGAAATCGCACTTGCATTCACAAAAACTCCTCTTGTAGGTACCTCACCCTTAAGATCATTGAAAGAAAGATTTAAATTCAGCAACAAGCGAATGGTCCCTAGATCTTTTGGAATTTCATCGGAGAGGTTGTTGTGTGATAGGTCCAATTCTTCAATGCCTTTCAGAGAACTCAATGACCCTGGAATGGCTCCTTCAAAGGAATTATAGTGCATAAGACGGTGTTCTAAACTTGAGCAGCTACCAAGACTGCTAGGAATTTCACCTGATAACTCATTGTGGGAAACATCTAATTCAGCTAGATTTTTCAAGTTACCCACTTCTAAAGGCAGGGGACCGCTGAGATGGTTTTGAGCAAGGTTCAGGGATCTTGCTAAAGATGACAAACCGATAACTTCTGGAGGTATGGTGCCACTCAGTTTGTTGCCATATAGATGCAATAGAAATAAACGCTTGCAATTTCCGAGAGCCGAAGGTATGCTTCCTTCTAAATTATTTTCCTCTAACCAGAGTTGGTTCAACAGAGTTAGATTTCCAATGGAGGAAGGGATTTCCCCTGACAGTTCGTTTTTACCAAGACCCATTTCTTGTCCCTTATGAAGTAGTCCAATAGAGGCTGGAATACTTCCTTCCAATTGATTGCGATGCATATTTAGAGCCCTGATGCTTTGGAGATTTGCAATGCCTGCTGGAATATTTCCAGATATTTCATTTCCTTCAATTAAAAAATATTCGAGTTTGTTTGACAGGTTGGCTATGGAACTAGGCAACGGCCCTACAAAATTATTGCCGCCTAGAAGTAACAATCTCAATTTGGTACAATTAGTCAAAGATGAGATGAAACTCAGGTCATTGGCTTTCCCACTCCCCTCTAGAATGTCAGCCATACCAAGCCGGTACAGGACCTTTAGTTTTCCAAATTTGATAGACATCCCACCAGAAAATCGGTTCATAGAGATGTCAAGCAATTCAAGGTTTGAAGCATTTGACAGTGAAGCTGGAATGAATCCATTAAATTTGTTTTCCCAAATATTAAGCCGTCGAAGATTAGGAAGAGTGAGTCCTAAATTCTGAGGAAGACTTCCTTCAAGTTGATTATTCGCTGCAGCGAATACAGCAAGTGTTGAAAGATTATAGATAGATGGAGGGATCTTACCAGACAGCTCATTGCCCCTTAGCACAATAAGTGTTAAGCTTTTCAGTTGGCCTAGCGAGTCCGGGATACTTCCTTCCAGTATATTGTATCCCATTTGAAGAGCTTCAAGAGATGAAAGGTTCCCAAGAGAAGGTGGGATGGCTCCTGTCAATTTGTTGGACACGACCTGCAGGGTCACCAGCTTGGACAAAGACCCAAGCTCCACCGGAAGTTTCCCTATGAGCTTGTTGTTTCCTATAGCAAGAACTCTCAGGTTAGAACAGAGAGAGAGGCTGGCTGGAATTTGTTGCTCCAATGAGTTATTGGCCAAGTTCAGAATTTGCAGCCTGAATAATAAACCAATTTCATGAGGGATTCGTCCGTGGATGGTGTTGTTTGAGAGATTTATAATTCTGAGGAAACTAAGGTTTCCAATGGAAGGTGATATAGAACCAACCAAATTGGAGGATTGCAAGTTCAAGATGGTGACTCTTTGATGGCGGCGGCCACATGAAACACCATGCCATTGGCAGAAATGGAGAGAGTCATTCCATGAACTAGTGACCTGCAGCATAGGATCATCAGTCATCTTCGCCTTGATGGCAAGCAATGCTAGCCGATCTGCCTCACTTCTTTCAAACACGGTGGTGGTGGGAGAAGCATTATGTAACAAAGGCATGTGTATGCACAAGAGGAGAACAGCAGCATAGGGAACAAATGATTGGTGTATCCCCATCCTCATTGCCCAAGTACTATACTGTTGAGAATAAACAACAGCTTACTGAATTACAACAACAGAGAAAGTTATTATACAAACAATTGTGGGATCAATATGTAGACAACTATTTTCAATATCCCTAGTTACTTGGTTAATTTGGTTCATTAGTGCAACAATATTGCGTGGGGGATGGGATACTTTTGGTGGACTTTTGGCCTCCAAGTGACCAATGATCACCATGAGGGTAGTTTTTCTTCAAGGTCATAGAAATTTCTTAGTGCAAATATGATATTCTGACCATAAATATTTCCATCTTTGAAAGACTTGACTGCCATTCCACAAATTAGAGAGATGCAATGCTTAATTGAGAAGTCCATTCCACATTTTCTCAAAGCCCGAACAGACTTCCAGACCTGAGGTCTTGCGCGGATGTAACACTTAATTTAAACCTTGATACAGTATGGACTTTTGGAGTCTTGCAACCTTGTAAGACGCAATGCTTCATTGATTTGATTTAGTACAAGCAGTGAATCATAAACAATGATATTGCTCGAGAATAAAAAATGATAAACAATGATATTGTTCGAGAATAAAAAAAACGTTCAAGCAATCAAAGAAGAAAAAAATTAAAAATTTCCCATTAGGTTTCTCTATCTATCTATCCAAACTCTCAAAAATTTTAAAAAAATTTCTCTTTCCTTTCTTTTCTAATTGTTTTCACCTAACCAAACAAAGCCTTATGCCATCAGTAGCAAGAAAAGAAGAGGGGTGGAAAGAAAATAGGTATGAAGAAACAAATTTCCTTTATTCGGTAGAAATGATATAAGAAAAGAAAAGATAATAGGAAGGATTTCTTCTTTTCATCCGTCCAAATATGGGTGAAAGATAGGAGAGAACTATTTACTTGCCTAACTTACCTAATAGGGTAAAATGAAGCATACAGGTAGGTGTTTTGTGTCAAGATTTGGACAACCAAGTAGTTGGATGGAACACCTTCTCATTTGTGTCAGGATATGGACAACCAAGTAGTTGGATGGAATACCTTCTCAAGAAAGGCAGGACCACAAATCTCTATCAAAAGGAAGGTGGTTTCGATGAGCAAGCTCTGGTATTTCGGCCAAACATGCCTCTCATCTTGCCCCCGACAGGTGAGCCTATTATAAAAGTTTTAAATTATTACATCACCCTTCATAAATATTTAATAAATTTCATAAATAAAGTAAGGATAGGTTTAATAGTAAAAACAACTTAAAATTTATATTTTACTTATCAAATTAAATTGTCAATTTTTTATATTCTCTTTCATTCAACCGAACAAAAAGAGAAAAACGCTTAAATTATATGGACAGTGTAATCTCTTTCCTACCGGACGGAGCATTACTGTCCGTATTCCAAAAGGGAAGCCCCGCCCATTCACATGGTTTAATTCGCTTCTTCAAAATAAAAATAAAAAAAGGTGATAAAATAAGGAGAACATGAGCAGGAGCAGCTTGAGATGTAGTGAATATGAATGTCTGACATTGCTCTGTATGCTACTTTATTTGCTTATGCATCAATTACATAGAACCAAAAAAAAAAAAACTAACAATTAAAGTCACCTGGGTGATACATTTGAAATAGTTTCTACATTATTGGAGCACGTCTTATTATCCTGTGAGGATTGTACTGTTTCAAAAGAAAATGCTGGTTGTGCTGGTCGAGGAAGAGTTATGGTGTCGCTTCCCAGCATGAGGACTACATATGACATGGTTGGCCTATGTGCTGGATCATCCTGGACACATAACAATCCTATGTGGATGCATTTCAATACTTCCTCTGCCACAAAAGACTGCACAAGTAATGGGTCCATCATCTCCAACCCTTCGTTTTCACACCACAATTTCCATGCCTGTCATATCATACCACTCATCAAGTTAATATTAATAAAATTATTCATGATCTAGATGGAAGTGCTACATACTTTAATTTGAATAAAATTACATTAGTAGAATGATGGAGACGTACAAATGTAAGAAGGCTTTGACCATGTTCAGAATAATAAAGGTTGTTATTCCTTTTTCCACTCACTATCTCTAGTAATAGAACTCCAAAACTGTAGACATCAGATTTAACAGAAAATAATCCCTGCATAGCATATTCTGGTGCCATATACCCACTGTTTGGAACAAGAATAAAAAATATGATGATATCAGATGAGATTCAACTTCCCAAAGAATATATATATGTATATATATATACTACAAGCACTTTAGGAACTGGTGGATAACAGGGTGTGCCAAGGTTCCATCACAACCCTTCCACTTACTGGTTTTGTTCAATATCATATAGGCCAATGTTGATAACTGGAAATAATAATAATAATAATACTAATAAATTAAAATTAAAAAAGAAAGAAAGAAGATTACTATGTTCCAACAACTCTATTTGTGTTGGCTTCAATTTGATTTCCTCCAAAAATCCTTGCCATTCCAAAGTCTGAAACTTTTGGATTCATCTCATGATCTAGCAGAATGTTGCTAGCTTTAAGGTCCCTGTGAATAATTCTGAGTCGAGAATCTTCATGTAGGTACAAAATACCCTTAGCAATTCCATGAATAATTCTAAGGCGTATTTTCCAATTTAGTTGTGCACCTTTAGTGGAATCTACATTAAAGAATTAAAACAAAATGATATTAGCGTCTTACTTCTGTCAAGTATTCTTTGGCTCTTGTATGAAAAATTATAGTAGCTAGCAAGTAAAGGGTCAAACCAAAAAGGAAGAAATCTAAGCTCTTGTTGGACATGTATTCATAGATGAGCAGCAATTCGTTTCTGTCCAAACAGCAACCCAAGAGTCGGACAAGATTCCTGTGCTGTAGTTTTGCAATTAAAATAACTTCATTCTTGAACTCTTGCAGTCCTTGGCCTGAAGTTCTCGAGAGCCTCTTTACCGCAATTTCCTTTCCATCTTCTAATGTTCCCTGTAATTAAATAAATTTTCAGGCCGGTCATGCATTAATATATACCATAATAATAAGACATTAATTCCAAGAGTCGGACAAGATATATAGCTGCTTGAAGAACTTGTAATAACTAACACCACAAATATTTAATTTACTTTGTACACTGGACCAAATCCACCTTCTCCGAGCTTATTTTCTTCAGAAAATTGTTGTGTAGCTGCCTGTATGATATCCAATTGGATCAAAGGTAATTCTTGAGAATTCACCCCATTTTCTCCTTCTAAATTTTCAATGTCGTAGTGATGATTAAATCTATTATTTGCCAAGTTCATTAAATGAACCTCTTGGCTATTTTCTCTCTCTTCTGCAACAAGGATAGAATTAGCTGACATAATGTGGAAGGTAATATATACAACTGAACGTTGTAACTGCATTACATACCTTCCTCTTTTCTTTTCCTTCTCCAAAAGTAGTAAATACTGGACCCAAGAAGGGCTAACACAACAAACGAAGATACACTTGTGCTGATTGCAACTAATGCTCCATTTTTGTTCGTCTCTGAAAAGTAATTACTTTTTCTTTCAATCATCATGACCATTGGACACTAGTCTTCCGTATATAGATAATAACACACAGGTAAACCATCCCATAAATTTTACCATTTTGTGTAACTATCAAAGCTAGTAGAACTAATAGAGTTGAATTTGTAAGGACCGCACTACAAATATGAAACTTATTGGGTACATTAAAGAAGTTTAACAAAATAGGATCCGTACCGTCAAATAAATGGATGTGTTTCATACCAAATTATTATTAGTTGGTAAGAAAAAGTAAAGGGAATTGGTAAAATAAAAAAATCTAAATAGCATTACTGTCTTTGATGAAGTGGATGGCATTAACACTGGTCCCGTCCACTTCATCTAATCTAATGAATAAAAATTTATTCGATTTAAAAAAAAAAAAAAGAAAGTCTAAATAGCATTACTGTCTTTGTTTTTAAATAAAAAAATTGACTGATATTTAGGCAGAAGACTGCTACAGAAGTCTACTGCAAAATCATCCGCCCAAGAGTTCTAAAATAACCTTATGCCATATGAGCTGGGATAGGCTGCTATCAATCCAAACTCAACTCAGAGGGAATCCTAGCTAGTGATGCAGTGGTCTATATAAAGAATAAGAGTCTATAAATACCAAGAAAACAATATAATTTTTATTTAGAAGTTTAAAAGCAATAAAAGTGTGTGCTAATTAATGCATTTATATTATTATATAGGTGTCCTGTACCCGGCGGCGCATCCATGATGTTGTCACCATAGAAAATATAGTACTCAAACCAAAGATTGCAGCTGGGTAAATTAACTCTGGCTCCCCATTTAAGCTGTCCATTAGAAGATCTTGGAATCCATATAGCAGCCTTATCTAGGCAATCGATGCATTGCTGCTTCGATAAATCAGGGGTGCACTGCACAAGCGCAAATAACGTTCGGAATTCCAGTGCTTGCTCGTTCCCGGTTGCGAACTTGAGATTAGAGCCACCTGATGCAGCTTTGTCCTTTAGGCGGTTCAACAAGGTTGTCAGCTTCTCAATCTGATCCACGTTGGATGCATTATGTTCGTTCTCCATAGCGAAAGGAGGCGAAGTTTCCATGCTATGGAATATAGAGCGGTAGGAATAACGCAACGTACAATTGTCATACCATACAATTGCCTCCTTTTTGTTAGGACACTTTTCTATGATTACAGCACTAGACTCACTGACACAACCACGACAGGTATCGATCCCAACATCTGCTCTACAAAATGCGATTGCATTAACTGTGTCATTGTTTTCACCATAGGAGGAATTGTAAAAGCCATAGTAGTTGATGTCAGAAGCGATTGAGGAGAGGAGGGTGTCAAGGTTTGCCTTGTACATACTATCATTGCTGTAGTTGATACCACTGGAACAACTGTGACCTATGTAGGCAGCAGCTGGCTGGAGGAGACCAACAACTATGAGGATGTGCGAGATGAAGAAAAGCAGCTGCCCGCAGGAACCTATTATTAACATTGTATTTGTGTGTGATTTTTGTAATCTCTAAAATGGCATTCAACTTCAAGGGTTTTAATATGAAATTTGTGGTTGCTTAATAATATGATTCATCTATTATATTGAAAAGTATACGCTGAAAATGTCAACAGGCCACTCACATTTTTTCAGGTTCAAGGAAAGAGGACTTTCGCCCGCCTCTTAAAGTATCCCACTAATGGACCCGCTTTCAAGCTCACCAAACCAAAATTTTAATATATTATATTCTCCTGAACATTAAATAATAGAACCCTAAAAATTTTGAGTCGATTATAAAATGTTTTTAAAAAACTAAAATCAAAATCAAAATTTTAAAAAGAATCATTTTCTAACTAAATTTCTATAAAACAATTTTCATAAGTGTCAATGAAGAAAGCGCCCCCTTCTTCGTATTTTAGTTTCAACGTAAAATTGCCTTAGATTATTAAATTTTGAAATCGAACCCATTCCATTTGTACAATGTTCAGAATCTATTTCTAAAGGAACCTGTCTAAAACGTGGATCTTTGTCTAAAAAATTGGAAACACTGTCTTCATGAGATAAATGATAGGGCTAATTTTTTTTTTTTTTTATTCATTATGTAAAAATTGGCGAGATATAATTTTGAATGCACTTATTAATGAATTAAAATATACATTTTTATTTATAAGCAATCTTAGATTTTCTTTTACGTAACTATATATATATATATATATATATATATATATATATTATGGTAGGATTTCTAATTTGAAGAAAAAATATATTATAATTTTTAAATTTTATTTTCATATTATTAGTTTTGACCCCAAATGAAGTTACTGGGTCTGCCCTAGTATTTTTGAACAAAATGTAGTCATTGGAGTTAGAATAACCAGCGGATTAAATTGAGATTTCGAAATTGGTCACTTTATCAGTAGAGAAACAACATTAAACAATTCACGCTGCTGCAGTAAATTTAATATATTATAATTCTCATAAACATAAAATAATAGAACCATATAAAATTTGAGTTCCAATGTTTGATTATAAAATGTGTAACTTGCATCACCCTGTTAACCAAATTCTTGAACGTGGAGAAACATAAAGCATTCATTTAGAGTTCGTTGATTCGTTTTTTAGAAACTTTTCACAAAAACTAAAAAAATAGAATATATTTTTGAAAAATTAACAACTAAAAATGAGTATTATTTTTTGGCCAATTCAGAGTCTCACAATAATTCCGTAGGCTTTCTCTCTCCATCTAGAAGTCTAACTTCTAATATTCCTTACTTTATAAAAAAAAAAAAATTAATAAAAAAAAAATTGACATTACTTTTGGATCTTATAGCAGAAGAAAATTAAAAAAAAATATGAAAAGGAATTTTTGACTTATTGGATGCCGTCTATAAAATTTCCAATTCATAAGAAAGAGTCGTGGATGAGGACAGGAATAGGAAAGTGGTGATAGGCTGGAAAATTTCTTCCTTTGACAAAAGTCTCGCCTGCTTTCGCATTTGATCAATTTGGTTATTTATACGTTTCAAAATTCAAACACGTGTTATTATATATATTTTTCTTTAATTGAATCTTAATATTTTCTACTACTATATTATTAATAATATTACTCTTCTAATTAGATTTTCTTTTATTGAATTTAATAAATAATTTTTTAATATTATATGATCGATAAAGAATATTATCCCATATGAAAGTTTAACCGACATTAAAACTTAAGAAGTGTGGATAGACTACACGTAAATGAATATTGGCCCATATGAAAGTCTAATCGACATTAAAACCCAAGAAGTGTGGATAGACTACACGTAAATGAGATAGCAACGACTCCTATGTGGAGTAACTCTCCTAATCCTTGGTAGAGGAGTAAAGGGAACCAATTTCCTAAGTGGACACGACTATAGTTAATTGTAATACCCCTAATTTCAAAAGGATAGTCATGCTATTTAATTTATTGTTTCACTTGCATTTTTAATTGTTTATTGGCGTGTTTATTTGCATTAATTGATGACTTGTTTTATTTAAGTAAATTGTTTTATTTAATGGTGGTTATGTGAATTAATTAATTGTTAAATTGTATTTTATTTGTCTGTAATTACGCTAATTGAAATTTTAGGGTTTTCTTTTATTTTTTTTTCTTCATGTTGTAGTCGACTTAGTTCTCCATCTCCTATTACACTTAGACTTAGGTTTAAGGGTGGCCTATAAATATATGTATTAAGTTTTACCTAGGGTTTTAGAACCCTATTCACGACAGTGGAGGCAGCGAAAGAACAGAGGAAGAGGAAGGGTTACAGTAGTCGGAGTTCGCCGGAGAATTTAGGAAGACGACGGTGCAAAGTTTCGGATTGAGACCTAAAGGCAAGTTATATTCCTAACTCTCTCCCTTTGACTTGTGTTCTTTACATCTCTATTACAGTTCTAGAAATAAATAAATGTTAAATTAATCTGGTTTGTATGTTTAGGTTCGTCTGTGACTGTATGTGTTTACATGTTTAGTGTTTGCTTGTTTTAATTCTTCCTTGTATATTTCTTGTTCTAATTGAAGTTGATTAGTGATTAATGATATTTAAAATCTCTGGAACACACTGGGACTTAGTATTAACTAGTAGGAACATTAACCATGGAGTACAGAAGGAATGGAAGTCGCCGGAGGTGAAACGAGTGAGGGAAACAAGCAGTAGGGGTTTCTGTGAGTAGAGACGGCTCCCCACAAGGGTGGAGCCGGCTCCACTCAAGGGGGAGGTGGCTCCCCATGTGGGGGAGCCGGCTCCACCCCCTTTTGATGCGTTTTTGGCATATTTTTGCTTCTGGGTTTGGTTTTTTGATCTTTTTAGGGTATTCAGGGACTGTACATGGGAACCTAGATGAGTTCTAAGGTTGTATTAAAGCTCCAGAGGGTGTGGGAATGAATAATAAACCACTTAGGGTTTATAGGTTGAACAGTAAACAGTTCTTAGCAAGTTATGTAAACTGTTAGTGGATGCAAGTGGTTTAAATTGCTTATGTTGTTCTAGCAATTTCCTGTGAATAATTATCAAATTCTAATCATGTATTAGTGGTATAAAATAAGCATGTTAAAATCTATATATTTTTACTATGCTTGTTAAGGAATAATTGATGTTTAAATTTTAGCATTTATCGCATCAATGGTTGGACTGGTAATATGAACATGATAATTGGCTAATGTTTATTATGCTTGCTATGGAATTAATTGATGTAGACATTTATTTATGTTCTCTCAATTGTACGGATTCTGAGGATAAATTGATATTTACATATACTATTGTATTGTCAATTGCTGAATTTTTGGTTGTGTAGTGTAAAATCAGCATATTAAAATAAATAACTTTGATATGCTCATTATGGAACAAATGATGTTTAAATTTTATATTTTAATTCTCAATTGTTGGATTTATGGATTAGTTGATATTTACATGCGTGGACTGTATTATTAACTGTTGGATGGATGGATTGTATGCACCGATATGAGACGGTGGCATATTAGGGACGGATTAGTTTCAAAATACTAAATCCTACCTATACGGAATAAGGGAATGGATTATAAAACAAATCCTACTTATATTTAAGTCAAAGAAGCTGTACAAGCTGAATGACTAACTAGACTACTTGCCATCTATGTTAAGTCAAAGAAGATGCACAAGCTGAATGACTAACTAGATTGCTTTTGGATGGATATGATAGGACTTTAAGTATATATTTATAGTACCGCGATATGAGCTTGAGTCTCAGGATCGACGGTTAGGGAATGTATATGCTGTAGGATGTGTAGCTGGCTATGTTGATTGAGGTATACCCTGTTTAGGCTTAGGTACTCATGCCTACTCAGGTGCGTTTTGCATGTTGCCTTCTGTTCAGGTTGAGACCCTCTTCATAGTCCAGTGAGAGTCCCGTAGTGTGGATATATATATGTACGGACTACATAGCTATTGTTGAGTTGTTTAGGATGTACATGCATATCGAGTCTCTGTTCGGATTGTAGTAGGATAGAACTTGTTCGTGGGCCTGACCCACTTCTATTTTTCAGGTGTTCGACAGTTCCAGTCGTAGGCTTAATCGTGCTAAACAGAGATTATCACTCACTTTTCCGACTATGTAGGACTTCTCTCCGTGGTTTAGCTTTGGATGTTCTTTCAGCTATTTACATTTCAGTTTGGATTTTTATTAGGGGTCCACTAGAGATGGATTCTTGAGTTGTTTAAACTATTAGAGGTTTTGGAAGGATTTGGATTTTATTAATCTTTCATATTTGAGGATTTTATATTTAGAGATCTTTCAGCTTTTAATATTTATTCTTAATTTATTTTGCAATCTATGTTCGTTTTAAATATTAATTGTTTAATATTCCCTCGGGTTTGGGTTTGAGACTGATTAACCCATGTCTCGGATTCGAGGGGTATCACATTAATTCTACTATAAAGGAAAAGTTGGCAACTCGAAAGGTACGCCATAAATTTCATAATTAATCCTTTTATCGGAGGCCAAGTATTAACTTAACATCGGGAGTACACCCGACTAGCAGCACGCCGATCATCACTCTCTTATCTTGCAGGAATGGCCTCGGCTCTGGACCGTGCGAATTTTTGTTTTTAGTGATATTTTTGTTTATTGGCTAACTCTGACTATCTGTTCATTATCGGTCTTAAAAAAAAAAAAAGGCCATTCTCATAAAGCTCAAGTCCAGTGCTGACAGGTCTCTATCACCATCACCATCTAAAACCAACCATCTGGATTTTTCTGAATCAAGTAAAGCCGTTTACAGAACAACAATTGTTGAGTATATATGGATTACAACAGTCAACACTGGAGGCGGAAGAAGCTCTATCTCAAAGGCTTGAAGCAGTGAATCAGTCTCTATCCAAAACCGCTATTTCGGACAATGTAGCCCTTGCCATGTACCAGCTTTCAACCCTATAAGGAGTTATTGGTTGGCTATTTTCTTAAGATTCAATTCATGGGGAAAAGAGGAAGAATTCATGTAATACCCCTAATTTTAAAAGGATAGTCTCAGTATTTTAATTATGGTTTTATTGCATTTGTGTTTGATTAATTGATTATTTGCTAA